TACCCCACACCCTCAATCCGACTCTGAGCTCTGCCAGAAAGGCTTCCCTGTGCTGGCAAAGTGGAGGGCAGGACCCACTGCCTCCGATGTCCCACCTTAGGACGGCAGGGGATGGAGGGAGAGCCCATCGGCCAACTCAAGGCTAGGAGAGAATACACATTTCCTCTAGACATGCCTGGAGGCAAACAAATGGGAACAGTGATTGCTGGGTGGGCTGCTCAGAAGTTTCCGTAAGTCAGCATTTAGAACAGTGCCTGGCACACAACTATTTTATAAACAAGCCAACCAAACACTAAACAAATTCTCAGGAGAAACCAGCACCAACAAGTTACAGTCATAGGAATGTATGAAGCTGGGGTGACCCAGGGTGGGGCTGTCCATGGCCCTGGGGCTCCTGGAGAAACCCCAGGAGTACTGCCCCGGCCAGTGCCGACCCGCCAGAAACAAATGTGTGAGAAGACCGTCCACCGTTCCCCGGGCTGGCACTGCGTCATCTTTCATACCTTCAAACTCTTTTGAAGGCTCACTCTTAGTTTTTACTCCATATTATGCAGCAAATTGCTGGAAAATATTATAAAACTGTTCAGTGGCCAGGTGTGGTGGCTCATGCCTGTAATCCCAGCCCTTTGGGAGGCTAAGGCGGGTGGATCACCTGAGGTCAGGAGTTCGAGACCACCCTGACCAACATGGAGAAATCCTGTCTCTACTAAAAATACAAAAATTAGCTGGGCGTGGTGGCACATGCCTGTAATCCCAGCTACTCAGGAGGCTGAGGCAGGAAAACTGCTTGAACCCAGGAGGCAGAGGTTGTAGTGAGCCAAGGTCGTGCCATTGCACTCCAGCCTGGACAACAAGAGTGAAACTCCATCTCAAACGGGAAAAAAACAAAAACAAACAAAAAAAAAACTAACCTTCAACATCAGGATTATTCTAAGACCTGCAGTCACCAGAGCTATCTTTTCAACAAAACAACCCAAGATGCCTATAGGCATTTCCATACCCATGCTGCACAGTGTGGTCGCATAGAAGCCTCCAGTCCTTTCCTTCCAGTTAATTCAGCTTTGTGACCCCATACTGTCTAAAAAGCAGACATGAATGAGTGTGTGCAGGCATATCAGAGACATCAGACCTCCTTTATGTGCGACGAGGTATGTGGCAGTCCCCTTCTCCCTACACGCCCAGCCATGGTCACAACCGCCTGAATGCCAGCCACCTTCCCACAGTCCAGCCATAAGGTTGGCAGGAACCAGTTCAAAATCATTCTGTAGACCTCTCCACACTACAGAAAGACTTCTGGTTCAATAAATTTATTCGGCACTAAATCAAAATTTTAAAACTGGTTTTCCTCTTAAAGTCACTGATCTACCCTGACTGAACTCAGAAACTCTGCAAAACAAAAACAAATACAAAAAAACCCCACCAAAACTATTAAGCTAAATTGTACACTCATTGAAAACCTGAGTATTGAGTATATAAAGTGATTAAATACTCATGTAGTAAAAGATTTTGAGGCTTCTACTATACAGTCTTTAAAATAATAATAGACCACGAGTCCTCCCAAAAGCAAATCATGTAGTGTGTTTATTCTCAACGTGAACTGCCTCTGAGCATCCTGGTAGTCAGGGCTATATGCTCCCTCTTTCCAAAACCAGGGGAAAAAGGTTGGCCAAGCTAATTTTCTAAAAAAAAAAAAAAAAATCATCAGACTGCATTACAGAAATAAGATTTAAATTACTTAAACAAAAAATTATTTTGAGGGCCCCCCAGGTGCTTGGCAAGGCTACTGCTTTGCTGACAACTGACAGCCTAATTACAAATCAATCTCCTCTATTCTTAAAGCACGTCTATTCCACAGGTCCTGGAAAAACACTGTGGAGAGCTCATTTCTTTGATCTGAGTTAACAAACTGCATTTCTTTCAAAAGAGTCTCATTTTCAAATTCTGTGTAAAATTCAGAACCAAGCTGTCTACTGAGCTTCACTGTAACATCACTCACATCTAGATGTAATCCCCTAGCTATCAAATCATTTTAGCCCAGAAGTGTTCACTGCAGAGCGTGCAGTGTGGAAGCTTGGAAAGAAAGTAGGAGGAATTCAATGATTCCATTCAACACTGAAGTGGCATCTCTTCCCCCAAACTCCTCAGATGATGACTCAAATAATGCTCCTGGAGAATTCAGAAGCACCCTCCCCCAGGACCCCAAGTTTCATGCACCTTTCCTTTGTACCAGGGCTTCCAAAACCAGATGATAACAGTGAATCTTAACTACGCTTTAAATTAAATTAAAATTACCAGCCCTAGCAGGACGTGGTGGCTCACGCCTGTAATCCCAGCACTTTGGGAGGCCAAGGTGGGTGGATCACCTGAGGTCTGAAGTTCAAGACCAGCCTGGCCAACATGGTGAACCCCGTCTCTACTAAAACAAAAACAAAAAATTAGCCGGGCCTGGAGGCGGTCTCCTGTAATCCCAGGTACTCGGGAGGCGGAGGCAGGAGAATCGCTTGAACTCAGGAGGTGGAGGTTGCAGTGAGCTGAGATCATGCCATTGCACTCCAACCTAGGCAACAAAAGCAAAACTCCATCTCCCCGCCCACACACACACACACAAACCTGCCACTCTCAGTGGTCATCACACTGTATCTCTTGATTATTAGGCACCAAACACTGTATTCCTGGAGCTGAGTCTGCCCTCCAAGCTGCCCAGCCTCAGTCACCCCAGGTGAGTATGGAATGTAAAGGATTTGCACAGAACAGACTGGTTACTGTTTATTCAGTTGAACCAAAGTTGATCATCACAGTTCTTTTTTTTTTACTATGGTAAAGCACTGTACTGGTATGCTGTGCCGCCAACTCCACCATCCATCTCCTCTTCCCAAACCAACTCTGCACTCATTAAACACCCACCTCCCATTTCCTCCTTCTCGAAGTCCCTGGAACCACCATTCTACCTTCTAGAACTTTCACTACTCTAGGACCTCGTATCAGTAGAATCACACAACATTTGTCTTTCTGTCACTGGCTTACATGTCCTCAAGTTTCATCCATGTGGCAGCATGGGTCAGAATCTCCTAGGTTTTTAAGGCTGAGTACTATTCCACTGTATGTACAGACCACATTTGGTATATCCATTCATCTGGTGACGGGCACTTGGGTTGTTTCCACCTTTTGGCTATTGTGAATAATGCTGCTACGAACACAGGTGTGCAAATATCTGTTCATGTCTCTGCGTTCAATTATTTTGTGTATACCTGTAAGTCGAATTGCTGCATCCTATGATAATTCTGCTTAATTTTCAACAGATCATTGGCAGTAAAGGAAGTTGGAAATATAGGATGCATTTTTTATTTAACATTTGGCCCTCTCTGCTAGAGAAAAATGAAAGGTTTCCAAAAGGATGGATCTTGTCCACAGCAATAACTGAAATTGCAAGCCTTTGTGAAAACAGCCCAAGTGGTTCACGAGAAGTGAATGCTCATGAATAATGTAAACACTGGACATAAAAGTTAAATAAACAAAGAATATCCACCACCCAGCTCACTAAAGCCAGGAAACTTGGGCATACAAGGGGCCCACTGCAGTCACTGATGTCATCAACAGTAAGCATTTTGGAGACTTACAAGCTACATATTTGTGGTTCTTATTTCTCTTGTGAGCCTTTAAAAATTGTTTCAAGTCATCGGAAGATGGCTGTTAATAATAGCAGTACTGACCATTAGTATAACATTGGTGTACAGTGTTACAAAGTGCTTTGCATATACATTATGTTCACAGATCATCTTCAATCTGCAACTTCTTTTTTCTTTATTTTAAGGATAGTCTTGCTCTGTCCCACAGGCTGGCGTGCAGTGGCACAATCTCACCTCACTGCAACCTCTGCCTCCTGGGTTCAAGTGATTCTCCTGCCTCAGCTTCCCAAGTAGCTGGGATTACTGGCACACGCCACCACGCTCAGCTGATTTTTTGTATTTTTAGTAGAGATGGGGTTTCGCCATGTTGGCCAGGCTGGTCTCGAACTCCTGACCTCAGGCGACACACCCACCTTGGCCTCCCAAAGTGCTGGGATTACAGGCGTGAGCCACTGTGCCTGGCCATGAAACTCCTCTTTAATGGCCAGAAAGTGCATTTCTTGAATGATGAAACTAAAACCCAGGGGTCCTCATGTGTGCAGGGAGGTACATATCTAGGAGCATACCTAGACACCTGGCCCTCAAGCAGTCACTTACTCCACTCTCCATTTTCAACCCAGCTTCATTCAGAACAAAGAGGGGACAAAAGGGTGGGAGGAGAGGCTACTCTGTGGAGTAACTTTACAAGTTACTGAGAGAGGAAACAAAAGCATTCATTTTCTATTAAATGTGAAAGATCTCTCAATCTCTAATTGGTCCTGCACTCTAAGGCAACTTACAGAGGAAGGACTCAAGTAAAATTTCCATGGAGGGAAGTGGTCAAATAGCTGAGGTCAAACCCTCCAGACTCCAATTGTGGCCAAGTGCTTTTATTTCCCTTGTAATTTTCTTTAAGAATAAATGTTAAACCTAAAACATACCCCTTTTTGGAGGCGATCTTGGCAGCTGGACTGAGTGGGAAGAAAAAGCACCTTGTACTCCCCGAATCAGCAGCCAAACTATGCACCATTGTGTAGAGGCGGTCACATGACAGCCATCACCTGAAACTTGGTTGCTTCCAATCCATTAAAGAAACAATCACTCGTGTGCGTTAACCCTTCCAGCTCCCAAGGGCGGCCCTATCTCCCCCCTTCCAGTCCCCGCTTCGGAGAAACTGTGCATGACACAGATCTGATTGGGACACGGTGGCGTTTGGGGAGAAGGGAGGGACGAGAAGAAAAATCGCTGCTGTCCCTTCTGAGCAGAGTCTACTCTACCTCTCCCAGCACTTGCTGTCTCACAGTTTAAATTAATTACAGCTGAAAATACAGGGTTGCCATCTGGTTTGAAAAAGCAAGGATAAGGGAATAAAATGAAAGGGTTCTTGGTACTAACCTCACTTTAATCATTGCCAAAGAGCATGAAGACAGCCCAGCGTCCTCCCACAAGAAAGCCTTGGGCCTCACAAACTTGGCAAGCAGTCCCAGGCGCAAAACTGGATGGGCGGCGTGCCTGTCAGAATAAAAGTCCCCCCTGAAAGGAGGGCTGCGAGGTAAGGGGCCTCCTTGCCCCCCTGCACTGCAAGAAAAGTTTCCTATGGGTCCTGGAATAGGTCAGGAACTCCTGGGAAGGTTTATTTACAGAAGGTGCCTTGCCAAAACGCTACACGCATCATTACAGTTCCATTTGCTGAGAAAATAGATTTGCTGTCAGAATTACAGCATGCGATTTCCTCTTTCTTTGTTTCTCCATCTTCCATAACATAAGGCTTTTATAAAACTCCAAAATAAGGCTAAAGAAAACACAGGAGAGGAAGGTTGCTGCCAAAGTGGAAGAGCTCCGAAGGCAAGACGCATGCAACTCCACAGCACGGCTGCGGCCAGCCTCTCAGAGAAGGAATGCCAGAAATCCCCCATTTTCCTCTGCGGCAGCCGCAGCTACAGACTCACTCCTGCACCAAAGGAAGCAACTTCCTTCTGCCTCCCTTCCACCGGCAGAATCCTAGGTGAGAGGCCTTTCTCTTAGGACGCAGGCTGCCGCAGATGCTGGCTCCAGGCACTGGAGAGGCAAAGGTGCCACAGCCATCCTAAGTTTGTCTTGGTGAACTTTTAGGCGGGTGCAAGAGGTTGCCAAGTCTGCAGATGCCTTAGCCATATGCCAGCTTCAAGTAGCCCAGAGAAGTGAAGCATCGGATTTTCAGCCCATTTAAATTTCCACCTGCCCACTACCTGAGTTCTTTTACACCCAGGTGAGTTTTGCAAACAAGACCCTGATACACCCAAGCCCAGCTGCTTTCAGAAACTAACACCAATTGAAGCACCATGGTATTTATCAGAATAAACTCTGACCAACTGGATATTTTATAAACCAGAGATTTGACTTACAAAAAGGCGAGATATAAGGCAGATTATGAAAATAGCATTTCTGTTCTAGTGAAAAACACATCTTCAACCCAATAATGATGTGAAAGTTGTCTTCCCAATCCTGCCCTGGCAGAAACACTGTCTATAGCAACAGTGTCCATAACATTCCAAATCTCAGGAGTGTAACTTTCTAGTAAATGGTACATCTGTCAAGCCACAGGAAACATCTGGTAAAATGGTTAAATAAAAGCAGAATTTTAAGCTTTTCTGATTTCAGAGCTTACTAATAGTACTCAACGAGACTATCAAATGCTCTAACAGCTCAATGTGACAGTGAAAAATATCCCGGAGGGGACCAGGTGAGAAAGAGGACAACCCAGGAAGGAGTAGTCTACAATCCCACTGTCGTCATGATGACGATACCCCCATTCCAGGCGTGCCTCTGGGGGACAGTGGCCATAGCCCCCTCAGCTATTCCTCTTCTACCCAGGGCTGACTCCCCCAAGCATAATGACAGAGCACCCTTAATGTGAAGCGTCATAACGTATCAAGAGAAAAAAGATGTACACTCTAATTTACAAAAAAGACAAGGTATCAACATCATAGTCACAGAAGAAGAAATGCAAACGGCCAATCAGAATATGAAAAGATGAAGTTCTCTAGTAGCAACGCGCGTGCGCGCACACACACACACATTTCCCCCAAGAAACTTGCATATATTACATCAATGAGTAAGTGGCAGCAGTCACCTGTGGGATGATGCCAAGAAAGAGACAGATGCATACAGTTGCAGGTGGGAACAGATCAGCAAACCGTAGAGAGTGAAGCTGGCATCAGTGAAAACAGAAATGGAAGACCTCTGATCCAGAAATTCCACTTCCATAAAAGTGGGAGTATATGAGATGGGAGGAAGGATGAAGATACTGGAAGTTCTGCAAATGACAGTAAAACAATGTACCAACCCAAATATCTGTATTCGTTAACAAGTTCTTTTGGTTACAAGCAAATAAAACAAACCTAGTTAGTTTAAGGAAAAAAGGGCAACTTACTGGAAAGATACTATGAGATTTCTTGGAAATGAAAAAATGCTGAATAGCCAATCCTTGAAAAGAAAAAAAAAAAAAAAATGAGGTGGCCCCAGAGATCTGGGCTTCAGGAGGTGGAAGGCGCCCATGATGGGTCCACGTGCGGCCTCTCACCAGAGCCTGCCTTCTGCCCTCTCCCAGCAGCCGGCATTCATAACCACCACTGGCTCCAAGTGTTACAACTCTGTCACCTTCCTAGGTCCTAGAGACATACCGTCCTCCAATCACAGCTCCATTAAGGAGTTATTAACACCAACACAAAATCCCAAGAACATTTTTATTATAAATCAAATGTGCTGCTAAAAACTAGAACATGTCCCAGCACACACTTAAATGCTACCAGTTTTCACAGTCAAGAGACTTCATTGGGCCGGGCATAGTGGCTCATGCCTGTAATCCTAGCACTTTGGGAGGCCGAGGAGGGCAGATCACTTGAGGTCAGGAGTTCGATGCCACCCTGGCCAACATGGTAAAACCCTATCTCTACTAAAAATACAAAAAATAGCCACACAGCACCATGTGCCTGTAATCCCAACTATTTAGGAAGCTGAGGCAAGAGAATTGTTGCAACATAGGAGGCGGAGGTTGCAGTGAACTGAGATCGCACCACTGCACTCCAGCCTGGGTGACAGAGTGAGATGCCATCGAGAGAGAGAGAGAGAGAGAGAGAGAGAGAGAGAGAGTGAGAGTGTTCACTGGAGCCTTGAATGAATTATTTCTAAGTTAAAAATTGGGGAGTCTCCCAGGATAGAAATCTATTATGGTCTTGTTTCAGATTTGTAGGTTTAGGGAGAAAAAGAGACAGGAGACTGTTCCATCTATGCCATTAATAAGTGAAGATTCTGGATTTTTTAAAAAAGTAAAACTGCTGGAATTGTTGGCTAGACCCAGAGATGAGCCTTTGGGGCAGGAATAAAATTTTATGAGAAGGTGATTTATCTTAGAGCAGGCATGAGGTGTTTAATCTACTCCACGTCTCTCGCCATCTGACCTTCCACATCTTCTGCCTCCTCCTTCAATAGTTCTCTCGCTTCCTTGTTCCCTCTTCTGAATGCACACTTCCCACCGCAGAAGAACCACACATATCCTAAATCCCTCCTTTATCATATACAATGCCATCCCTCCCAGTGCTGATGGACAGGCAACCCCCTGCTGTTGGTCCCTGGGTGCTTCAGTGAGAGCCCCCGAGCTGACACTCCAGAGCAGCGTCTGGGTCCCCTCCTCCGTTCCCACGAAAGCCCCAGCCCTTCCCACTGCAAAGTGGGACAACTCCTAGATTAAAGATTGCTAGGAAATACAATGACTAAACGTAATGTGATTCATTACTGAATCTTGAATTAAAAAGAATAAATGTAAAATAATTTTTAAAAATCTGTAAAGGGCATTTTTCAATGTGAAAAGATGATGTGAGATCATAGCATTGTCTCCACAGATATGAAAAATACGGTAAAAGGCAAATATGGGCAAACATTAACAACTGATGAATGCGGGGAAGGGTGTGAGTGTTCACTGTGCTAGGCCTTCAATGTTTCTGTAGAGCTAAACTTTTTCCAAAATAAAAAGTATCTACGGTGGGAAAAGGGTGCAGGAAGGATAGAATGAGGAGATTCTCACCAAATTCGGCTGGACTATGTAGAATGATGTGACTTCAAGTACAGGCGATAGGTATACATGGCCCTCCATATCCTCAAGTTCCACATCCACAGATTCGACCAATCACGGATGGAAAATGTCATCAGGCCTCTGATGGGACAGACTTTTTTCTTGCCGCTGTTATTCCCTAACCAATATAATATATCAACTATTTCCATGGCATTTACATTGTATTAGGTATACCTCATCTAGAGGAAGTATAAGAGGATTTGTATACGTTATCTGGAAATACTATGCCACTTTATCTGAGGGACTTGAGCACCCTTGGATTTCTGTATCCCCAAGGGTCTTGAAACCAATCCCCCAAGGATATCCAGGGACAACTACACATGACAATCACTTTGTCAGGAGTCCCGAATAATGTTCCCCGGGAGCTGGCCACAGGATACCAGGAGCCTATGTGATTGAGAGAGGCCTGACATGGAGTGTCCGTGTTTCTATCACCCCATGTGGTCACTTGCTCAAAAGCCAACGGCCTAAGACAGAGTGATGCGGTGTTATTCAAAGTCAACACACAGAGGAGGACAGCTATTAGTGATACAAGCACAAAACTGTCACACAAAAATAAACACAACAACAAACCTAGAAAACAGCTGAAAACACTTTGGCTGTGAAGACTTTTTGGAAAAATTTGAAAAATACCAGAACTAGTACATACTTGGTCCAAGATGTGTTTGCTTTTCATAGCAGAGTATGAGCAAATCTGCACTTTGGGTCAATTTCCACCCAAAAGAAATGTCTGGCCACCTCTCTGCCCTGTGAGACTCAACCCAAATGCATGGAATTCCTCACTTCCATATACCTCCCTTTATGTTCACACTGGGACTGGAGCCAGATGCATAAGCAAGAAATATAGAGGAGTGAAAAAAAAAATCATTTCACCCACACAAGAAACCCGAGGGCTTCTTACTCCAGAGTCAACACTGGGATAAGATTACTTGCTGTGAAACAAGCAACATGGGCAGGGCTGGTGATACAGACTGAACTTTGTGTCTTTGTGCATTTTCCCTTTTCTGTTTCCAAGAGCTTAGCAGGGAAAGGAGAGTGCTGGGGCTCTGTTCTGGGACATGTGGAAGTAAAAATCAAGGCTACAAGGGAGAGAATGGAAGTATACTAAGTGGTGCCACTCAGGGTTTATTACTATGGGTTTAAAAGCAATTCTTAATATCTGTCCCAAAAGGAAGCGGGTTTTCACAGAGCTCTCCTAGTGACTCCTTTTTCATTCACACATTTACTTAGCACCTAGTTGGTGTCAGGCACTGGGCGGGTATGGTGCTACAGACCTGAGCAGATTCAAGCCCTGGTCTGATGGAACTCGTAGTCTAGGAAAGGGGACAGACAGCTGGACACCCAATTGCAACAAAGTGTCATCACTGTATACAAAGTAGTATTCACCATGAAGCAGGAACAA